TCCCTCCACAGTGGCGACGCAAGCAAACCAAGCCACCTCCACCCACTGGCGCTGCACCGCACTCAGCCCCACCGCCCAGATCGCCGGCGGGATTCACCATGATGAGAAACTGCTGAACACCCGACCAACTTCCCACTGCTTGAGACGAAGAGGGCACCACGACCAGATCCATGGATGTGCGGCGGAGTCCCGTCCACGGACAAGCCCGGACTGCCTGCTGAGAGAGTCAAACCAGCGAAATCGAAGCTAGGTTGAAGATGAAGCAATATTGATTAATATATAAATATTTTTGAATGTACATATTATTTTTTTATTTATGATATATAATAATTTAATATTTGAGTTTTATATTTATTTCACTCGTTATAAAATAGTTCTCATTTTAGAGTTCCTGTTTATAGTTAAGGATACTGAAAATTTAACATATTCAAATATTATCAATAAATAATAGAACATTGTATTTCTCTCTCTGTCTTCCTTGACTCATATCTTATTACAATATATATTATTTTGATTTCTAAATAAGTTACGCTAAAATTGAAAAATTGTGGCAAATATTATAACCAACATTTAATTGAAAACGATTGTAATATATATTAATTTGTAATTAAAAAATATTAATTTTTATTTAAGTCAATATTATTTTATTTTTTCTTATAATTTATAATAATTTATATTATAATATTTTTCAATTTTCTTTCTAATCTATTAATTTATATGAAATTTGTCACGATATTGTGAATCACAATATGATTTTTTTAAAAACTAGTTCGGTGTAGTTATTAACGGTAGAAAAAACTATTATAAATGCGAGAAAAGCTCGAATACAATGTCCAGAACTAATAACAATAACATGAGAGGAACATCACAATGATGCCCTAGAGCCTCAGAGACACAAGCACAAAAGAAAACCAACATCAAATAAGAACAAGAGATGACCACTGCCTCAAAGCCTAGCCAACTACTAGCCCTTACAAAGAACAAAACAAACAAAGGAAAACCTAACTAAGAACAATCTGCATCAGATAAAGATGAGAACTCCAACCAATCCGAGTGAGCTGCCTTGAATGTGATGTGAGGAGGGGGAATTGAGTCTTGAAAAACCCATTGGTTTCTGGTTTTCCAGAGCCACCATAACAAATATGTTGTCAATTCAATTCTGTGCTCTCCTACTGCAGAGTGTTTGATCAAGCAAATCTGTTGCCACCATGTTCTGAAGGAATCAGTGTATGATGAGAGGCCTTGCCAGGTGATTGGGGCATGATGCCAGACATTTTTTGCTCTAGAGCAGTTCAGCAGAACATGCTCCAAGGTTTCAGGGCCATCTCCACAAATTTTGCAGATCACATCAATGTCCATTCCTTTCCTCTTGAGATTGGTCAGAACAGGTAAGGAGTCATTAAGGCATTTCCATAAGAATATTTTCAGCTTCATCTGAACCTTGATAGACCAGCTTCTTTCCAGGGTTTTCTGCCATGGTTTGGAACTGTCACTGCATTCAGGGATGTCAAGTAGCTGCACTTTTTGTTGCACCAGGTAAGAATAAGTTGAAGCCACTGAGAACTTGCCTTTTTTCTCCAATCCCCAATAAATTCTGTCTTCCTTGTCTGGCTTGAGAGTGTTAATGCTCAGAATTGCAACACTGTCATCATGATTATAAACCTGTTGCACCAACCATTCATTCCAGCCTAGACCAGATGGGTGCATTAGATCTTTAACAAATATGAGGTGATCTCTGGCTATTTCAAGCATCACAGGTTTATGTCTAATGTTAGGAATCCAATTGTAGTCATCAATTCTGGTGTTAGCACCATTTCTAATCTCCACTTTCAGCCATTTAGAGAATAAAGGAAGGACTTCAAGCCAACAGTTCCAAAGCCAAGAGCCTTTCTAAGTTTTAGCAGCATGAAAGATGGAAGAGTTAGGAAAGTACCTTTCTTTAAGAACCTTGCTCACCAGCAAATCAGGTTGAGATGTAATTCTCCACAGCTGTTCGGTGTAGTTATTGACAATATCAAAGTTATTTTTGAACTTCTTGAATAGATGATTTTTTTATATATGACTTGTTAGCAATTGAATAGAAAATTCATTGAACGGAAAATTGGAGGGATTTGTTGTTAATGTTGAGATACCAATTCTATTGTTATATTGTGGTAGTTATATAATAAGATTTTTGCAATTGATTTCTAAATTTATTTTGTATTGATACTTTGCAATGTTTTCACGCATTTTTCTTGAAATGTTTGGTAAAAATATTTTGTTGAATGAATGGCAATATATGTTTACATTAAAGTNCGTAGAGAACATGTTTATCTTGAAAACAATCATGATATTTTCATAAATATCGAGAAGATAAACTTTTTTTTTATTTTTTTCATAAATATCAAGAAGAGAAACAATCATGATAAACTTTTTATTTTTTTTATCAAGAAGATAAACTTTGGCATGATAGATTTGTGAAAAGTACGATGCAATTTTTTTAAATTAAGTTCTTAAAAGATCATAAAAGAATTATTTTGTCACAATTGATCGATATGTTCGATAAAAGCTCCGACTAAAACATAAGTTGACTTGTCTGTACACTTAGCTAAAAACCAGGAATAGTTAGTTTCTCGGCTAGAATATGCTCAATAATTGGAGGCATGAGGTACATTTCGAATATTATTCTCTCTGATGGTTGCATGTTAGCGAGTAAATTAAGAAGTTCACAATAGATTCCGAGTATATAAATTTGGACAAGGCCGTGGAAAAAGCTAAATAATTTAGAAATTTTTTTAAATGACGTTCTTGTTGGAATATATTGTCTCATCTGTGATAATTTTTTGCGATAATCAATTGTCGATTAAAAGGACATAAAGTAGTTTGTAAAATGATAAGTCTCGAGTGATTATAATTTTTGGAGTCTTTAATCTATAACCATTTATGTTAATTTATATTTTTCAAATTAAACATAATTTTATATCATGTAGAAATAGAAGAATTGATTAAATTTTTTTAAGATTTAGTATCAAACTAGTACGAATCACGTGCGATGTACGGTTAAGAGATATTCATTAATATTTATAAATTATAAATTTTTATTAAATAATATTATACATAAAAAACATGGAATGAAGATGTAATACAATCTACCTGTATTAATTTATTGAAAATGTAATATAAAATTTAAATAGTGGGAAATTACATAAAAATGTCTATTTAAAATTAGTAGACAACCCGAGTGTTGCACATAACTAATACTAAATTACATTATATTCGTTTAAAAACATGTGCCATTTCAAAATTTTTATTCAAAAATTTGATTTGGCTATAACGTGATTCCATAGAATAATTATTTTGGTAAATTTATCATATATTTAAAAAGATATGTGAATAATAAGTATAAATATAAAACTTATATTGTTTCATTAATTAATATGAATTTATTTTTGTATAAAATGTCCAAATCAAAATATTTAAGTAGTTGAGTAAAAACATTCAGTAATAAGGTTTATATGCCAAAAAAATTGACACTTCTTACCATGCGAAAAAAACATTCCACACAAAAATTATTTGAAATGTCGTAACATAAAACGAATTAAATCGAGACCCACTAATTATACAAAAAAATAAAATAAAATTGACCAGAGCTTTTTCTATAAAAGAAACATCGATACACGCACATTATATCAAAATATCTGTTCATATTATTTTGTCGGATTACTGTAATTTTATTATGTTAATTTAATACAAAATTAAATTCACGCCTAAAATCAATATATCGGTCTGCTCATTACAGAAAAAAATACACCGTAAATTGATTAATTTTTCGACAAATTTCCTACCAAAAAACATTCATCAAATAACCTAAATAAATTTGCTCACATTATACCATATATTGATTAATTTATTTCTTATAGAAATAACCATCAATACCAAAAATAAATTCGTCCACTTTATACCATATATTAATTAAGCAACAGGATTTGAGTAATTAATGTATCTTAAAATATGACTTAATTACTTTCTTAAATAATGAGCCGCAATTTTCATAAGTAATCATTTGATATATACTATAAATTGTTAAATTAATTTCCTGAAATAGTAAATAGATTTTTTTGGGGGAAATAGTTACTATTTAAAAAATAATCAGATCTTTATATATATATATATATATATATATTGATATCACATCACAAAAAGTAAAAATAGATTAGCTAGAGCCATAATTATTTATTATTTTTTGAAGAAAAATTAATCATAGATTCAGATCGATTATTTACTTTACATATAGTAAAGAAGTAACCATAAAAAATAATTAGAAAAAATGGTTAAAAAAATCTCCTTAGTTAATAAATAATTATTCTTTCGCAGAAAAATCATACTATTTTAGTAATACAAACTTATATACATATGTATAGGGTCACGCTCCGGTGAGAATGACCCTTAATGCGAGAAATAGGAATAAATTTGGTACACTAGATTAATGAAATCAGACGGACATAAAATATCCGCTGGGATTCAATTACCCCATCAATTGGAGGGTAATAACGTAATTACCGCAATTTAATGTCTCATTGAAGACCTACATACTGAGATAAACTCCCCAAATCTCGCAGCTCCTTCATATCCGCACAAGCTCCCCTAAAAATCCCCCAGCTCCTTCATACCCTCACCTAAATCTTTCAATCCCGCAGCTGTGTATATTTCGCGACCGATTTTTCACCATGTCGAGCTCGGTTTTTCAATATTCCATGAGATTTCTATAACAATCTCGATTCGCGAGCCCGAAACTTTCGATTGAACATCCATATCACATACTTGACGGTGTCAGGTATATTTCGAATTAAACTTTCGATTTTGGTCAATTGTTATACGAAATTGAGAATTGTTGGTTTAATTATCTACATGTCAAAATATGTAATTTTAGGGAAGTTGATCTGATAGTTGATCTGATATACTTTGTTTCTTCATGTGGTTTTAGGGACTTCATACGTTTTATTGGTTGGGTCGCATAAACAATGGAATTAAATGACTCTCAACCAGGTACTGAGGACAATTTTATCTATACTGTGATAAAGTGCAACAGTCGATTCTATTGCGTGCAACTGTCTGTTCACATCGGTGCAATCGGTGGTTTAGTTATTACTACTGATATGTTTTTTTTTTTTTTTTTCAATGGCACTTAAGGAATGCAAACGCCGGTTACACAACAACTTTTAATAACACCGGGTGGAACAAAACATTGGATACCACAATGTCACGAATCAATTAAACCGTATCAAGGACAAATATTCCGGGAATTACATGAAGCGGTGAACTTCTACAAGACTTATGCTCTTACCGTTGGATTTGACGTGAGGCATAGCACGTTGGCGAAAGCACGTGACAAGACGGTTATTTGGAAATACATCGTGTGCTCACGAGAGGGTTACAAGCAACGTGCAGTCATCAGTCCTACGACACATGCTAAAGGACACGTGACAAGACGTAGAGTGTCCAGCCGGGTAGGTTGTACTGCCAAGATTGGAGTGCGATATGATGGATTGAACGGATACATCGTTAAAATCTTTGAGGAAAAACATAGCCACTCAATGATATCTGATGCTTGCAAGTCACAAATGAAGATCAGTAGGTCGATGAATGCAGGACATCGGTCGTTCGTAATGAATTGCATAAAGGCCAATATAGGGCCGGTCAAGTCGTACCGATTGTACAAAGCGTCGGGAAGCAAGCTCAGCCTTCTACTTCCAATACGAGCTTGATGAGAACGACTGTTTGAAACAGCTTTTTTGGGCTGATCCGATTTCGAGGAGGAACTACGGTGCGTTTGGTGATGTTGTATCGTTTGATGCGACGAACCGCACCAACAGGTTAACACAAATTTCACGGATATTTTCCAACATATGTTGTCAAGTCAATAATATTTGCAAATGTCAACAATAATTGCATAGTTTATACATTCTTTGGTTGCACAATATAAATTATCACTTGTATACTAAATCAACTTGATCAACGTGTAGGTACAACATGGTATTCGCACCTTTTACCGGCATAGATAACCACGGCAAGTGTGTGACATTTGCAGCTGCCTTGATATCGAGAGAGGACGTCGACTCTTATGTTTGGGTATTGAAGAATTTCAAAGATGCCATGATCCACGAGCCCGAGTACATTGTCACAGATCAAGACCCGTCCATCGGCGTTGCATTTCCTAAGGTATTCGAAACTTGCAAACACCGATTTTGCATGTGGTATATAATGACAAAATTATGCGACAAGGTTGGTCCTTCTTTAAAAAACGATGTAAAATTCAAACGAAGGCTTAATGAAATTGTGTGGGATCGAACTATAGAGCCTAATGAATTTGAAGCTAAATGGGCGGCAATAATGAGAGATTATATGTTAGAAACACACAATTGGTTCACTGATCTATTTGCAAAAAGGGAATTTTGGATTCCAGCATTTTTCAAGGATGTCAAAATGAGTGGTTTGATGAGGACAACGTCCAGGTCCGAGAGCGAGAACAATTGGTTCGGTCATTTCACGAGTAGCCATTCCAGCTTAGTCGAGTTCTTACTACATTTCGACAGTGCGATGGACGCGCAACGAAATGTGTCAATCAAACTACAAAACGACAGTGAGTCGCAAATGGCTGACTTAAAGACACCTTTGCCGATTGAGAGGTACGCGAGGTCTGTTTACACGACATTCTCATTCTACCGTGTTACAAGGTGAGATATATGCAGCATGTTTCAATTGTCGTGTAACGAGCGTCTCCGAAAGTGAAGGAATTATGGAATTCAAACTCAAAGACCCAAATGGTAAGACCTTCACTGTTATTCATGATGTCGTCCCGACTACGTCTGCATGCTCGTGCAAGCACTTCGAGTTGTACGGGTGATTGTGTAGACACGTGTTTTTTGTGCTCAAAGACCTTAACTTCAATCTAATTCCGTCGGCACATATCATATCGAGATGGACGAAGCAGGCGATTAGTAATCCCATGTTTCATGTTCTTGGCAATGTTGCTGCACAATGTGCTCAGGCCGATGATACAAAACACTTGTTGAACAAATTGTGGTCAGATATACATATATGCATTGGATTAGCTGAGCCTTGTGTCGATCGCCTTATCGAATTCTCCAAAATCGTCGAAGCATACAAGTCTAAGCTCATGTCTGCTCAAACAAGGGATGCGACAATCACTGGTAAAGTGTTCCTAAGTATGTACAATGTATACACTATATTATTGAACTTTACATATCGACACATTGCACAATATAAAACACGTTGTTGCACTTTATAAAAAATCGTGTATGTTGTTTGCAATCAGGGGACACAACGACCATTGGTAAAGAACACCAATTTGAATCGTTTGTTGGCATGGCTGCTCCTCAAGAGGTGAACATTCACCCTCCGACACAATCCAAGAACAAAGGCAGTGGGAAGAGACTGAAAAGTGTGAAGGAAAAGGCAATTGAAGGGTCGCAAAAGAAACGAAGGACATGCAAGTCGTGTGGTGAAATAGCAGGCCACAATGCACGTATGTGTCCCAAGAAGCAGCATGCGAACACATCAAATGCCCTCGAGGTAAATGCACAAATAGCTGTCTGATACTCTAACATATATATTATGCATATATATTTCTCTACAACGTGCATCTCTATACATATGTCAACATCCTATATTGTTTCTCAATATTCGCATGTATTTATTAACAATGTGTGTGTATTCGTACAATAGTGTAATGCGTATTAGATGTGATGTATGAATATTAACATGTATATATATATAATAAAATAATAATAATAATACATGCAGACACAGGCGACAGGTGATGCAACAAGCAGTTGATGGAAGTCATCTCGGATCAAAATACTACGATTGGACATTTGGTTTAATGTTATTTTTTATTTGGATTTTTGTTTTATTCTTTATTTGGAAAAGGTAGAGACATATGGTTGTTTGTTTAGCGAATATTGCTCTATGTAGCACTTGATAATTGTCGTGAATTTTGCGTCGGTCATTTTAATGCTACTCTCGTCATTTCTTTTTTTTTTTCAGTGGTATTGGCTGATAATTAATATGTGTGCCAGTGGGATATTTATGTGGTATTTTGGGTGCGCACATTGACTGCGAACACAATGTGCACATCACACTTTTTTGGATTATGCGTTGCACTTTTCTAAACATTGAGTTGCACTTCCATGGACATCACGTTGCACTTTTTTCAATTGTTGATACCATATGAATCTTAAAGAAGAGTATAGTGTATGAACTCGTGTATTTACACAATTACAAAATAATTCGCTATAACGGCCTAATACACATACCTATTTAAGATTGCAACAAATCGACATCGCAACAACCAAACGTCTGGCAATGCAAGCATTTCTTATGTATATACTACATTACTGTACTTTATATATAATCGCATTGCACGACATAGAACACGCCGTTGCACTTTACATACTGTAATGTCGCACTTAAGCATTTCTCCTGTATATGCCACGCTAATGCACTTAATATACAGTCACATTGCACAATATACAATATGTCGTTGCACTTTACAGACTGTAATGTCGCACTTTATCGACCCACTCCACAAAATAATGTCAATAGCTATGTCCGATAATCCACAAACCTTGAATCGGAAACCTGTTCTACATAATATTTTATAACTGCATCGCATCGTTCAGCCACCATAAAACAAAAGAAACAATATATACTGCCGCATTAACATACCAAAAACGACAAAAACAAATCATAACAAACTACTAGAATAGTCATCCAAAACCATAGTGCTAGAAATAAGCATCTAGCGACGGGCGTACCCAACATTAGGTCCTACACGCATATGTAATAAACCAAAACATGGCAACAATACGTCTAACGGGTCCAAACAACAAACGACCCATGCGACACATCACACAACACCGACTTTCTTCCTCGGAGACCTCTTTGATTCAACGAGGTTAGCGTCTTTCACCTTGTTGTATGGAGCAAACGCAATGACGTAGCAGTAACGCTTCCTCATGAGGTCGATCTGCCTCTTGTCGGCCTTCGTCACATCCGGGTTCCAGCCTTCTGTATCACGTCCTTTGAATGTCTCCAAGTGACTCATTGTTAGGACGTCAGCATCTACGTCATCGACACCTTCAGTCCACGGCAAATCAATGAAGTTCGAAATTGAGAGAGCGACCGACTTTGATGATTTCGACATACTCATCTGTGCCATGTACTTCGCAAGTGATTGTTGCTGCAACAAATATACGCGCTAACATGTAAAACAAAATGAAAAATATATATATATATATATATATGAATAAAAAAAATAGAAAGAACAAATACAAAACACTCGCATCACGTGATAAAGAAATAAGTTAATTTTCTACAAGTGGAGATAGTTGTTACCAAAATCTTAGCATGCGACGTGACGGATTTCTTGATGGAGGCGTCTTTACAGATGCAAGCACTATCTAGGATATGTATCTTCCAGGTGTCTGGAAAAATACAGATCAACCCACTAAAGCCACCAGAGTGTATGGGGAACACGTACTATAATTCAAACAAAGAAAAAAAAAACTATAATGTAATGTTGCACGTCATGATCAAGAACTGAAAATGCAATAAATTTGGATACGATTGAAACTTTCTTCCGGTTGTAGACACACATTCCATTGATATCAGCATCTAGCATCTCCACAAACTTCTTGTAACTTACATCCTTCTTTCTCTTTCCCATGAAAAAAAGCTGTGGTTCACAAAATTTATAGTAAGCATTACTGAAATAAAATCATAAGTATGCTTCTAATACACCAAAATATATGACGATGCACCTCATTACACGGACGCGTGGTTGCGAAGAAACACACTACTGAACCACGACTCCCGATCTTCTCATTGCAGTTCATTATACGAGCCCACAGATCAATAAGTGCCTCGTTGATTGGCATATTCGGTGCCAAGCATGCCACCACATCCCTCTTCACGATATACTTACCGGACACGGACTGATATATAATCACATCACTGTGCATAAAATATTATCAGTAAAAACAGAATATATAACTACACTCGACAATAAAAGTTGATTAAATAAAAAGAATAACACGATGGCGCAACATATATCTTACTCATCAGCTTTGTGCAGAACCCAATTAATGACCATATTTTCCTGTTTGTCGAGTTTCTTAACCACGTCAATACACCTCTCTTTGAAAGGGGATTTAAGGAAGTTGGATAACTTGGGACTCCTTTTTGGTCTTCCAACGTCAACAACACCAGCATCATCAACAATCGTATCACCACCATCATCAACAATCGTATCACCACCGGCACCTATTCAACACGTAAAAAAATAATTTTTAATTACAATCACAGCACAGTATAATAAAGACACATATATACAATATATACAGTACGTACCTTGCACAGAATCATTAACCGTATCAACGACCGGTTCATTAACAACCGCATCACAATCAGCTTGGAAAAAAAAAAAATTATATATAATTCATCGAACACATATATACAACAACAATCAGATGGTTTATTTATAAACGTAAAATAATAAACACAAAATACCTGATGGCACATGTACAATGGAAGACTCTCTGACCGCGACTTCATCTACATGATGTCCAGCACTCATGTTTGGAGGAGTAGTATGATGGCGATCTATACCCGTGTCATCTTCCTCTTCATCCGACAAAAGCCCCAATCCCAAGCTGTAGTTGGGGCCCTCGTGGTGCATCCGTTTGAAACGGTCACGACGTGCAACAGCATCAACAATTGCATCTATGGCAGCTATGTTTGCGGGATCATTCCAGAAATCATCATCAACAATCTGAGTTGGAGCCTTAAAGGGTAATTCATCAGTCGCATGCTGGCTAGGCTGATCGGGCATATGTTGTTTGCCCTTCTCTTTAGAATCTTCATTGCAAATCCCAAGCAGTTTCTGTGACGCACCTTGCATTTTCGTGAAATTCTCATCACCCAACAGGTCTCGAGGTGCATTCTCAACCAGTTGTATAATTTCAATGCCGGCCGTGGCAAGAACACGTGTCTTTGATGCGAATTCCTGAATAAACGCCTGAAAAAAAAAAAAAAGAATAAAAGGGTAAAACAAATCAGTTAAACGTGTAAAAATACAAGAATGTCACTCATAGGATGCAAAAAATAAGGCATATAGCAATACATGGATCCAACAGTACCAGGATGCACCAAATAACTACACATATTGCACAAGTGTTCTGCGACTGTTGTACCAAATACACGTTTCACAAACACATATCACATTGTATATCTAAAGGGCCCGATTGCACATAACTACTACACCTATTGCACCATTGATTGTTAATGGTTGCAACAAATATAATATCTTAAGAATATCATGCCATAAAAAAAAAATAATAATAATAAAAAAAAAATTGTCACACAGTAAAACAACTAATATGTGTATTTACCTGGGCACTGAGTTTCGATGCACGGTTCGTGTCGTTGTCATTGGGACTGCCAACGTCTATTTCGGCACGGTGACGAGCATCATCCACATGTACATCGACATCCACATATCCTATGCCAAACGCACCAGCCACGATCTCATCCCGCTCTCTCGCTTTCAGCATAATGTTGTTCCATGATTTGAAAATCGGTAGTGATCTCTTTACGATTCTATACGATAGCACCACCTTGTCGACGTAGAAAAGCTGCAAAGACAAAGTAAATTGATAAATACAAATAAAAAAATAAATAAATATAAAGAGTGGGAAATCAATACATCAGACATTGTGGATCGTTGGAATACATTTAAGAAATTACATAAAGTAAACGTCACAAAGGATAGAATGCACTAACCGTCAGAAATAGAAGCGGCCCGGTGAAATTTTTGCGTTTTCGATTAGCATTCCATGCCTTTTTAGCACCCACCAGACATCGAATCAAGTATGCACACCAATTCATCTTGCTAACGTTTGACAAATCATTGAGCAAGTGAACTGTGCGCAAGTTTGCCACTCCATTCTGGGAACTCTTGAAGAGACACGTAACCATGAGAACAACAAAGTGACGCTTGAACCAATCGTCGCTTCTCTCGCAATTTTGAATCATCTCCAGCACCTTGGTAGCTGTGATTTTGGTGGCAACACTGACATCATACATGTCAGCCCATTCATTTAACACTCCCGACTCCATCTTTTTCTTCTTGTTCGCGATCTCGATAGATCCACGGGGCAGCCCCAACGCACTGTACACATCATCCTCCTTCACGTGGACCTTTCCCCCGTCATACAATTGCAGCTTTCGGTCCATATGGTTGAAATTGTCGACCAACCAGTATCCCATTTTGGCTGGGGTTGATGTTATCGTCAAATCAAGCAAGCATCCAAGTCCCATCTCGCGAACTGCACGTTTCTGGTCTTCGGACAAACCGGACACCGCCTTCACGAATATGGCTGGTGACGTTCTTGTGTGGATGGTCGGGAATGCATCATCGGTTTCTGCCCCGATATCTTCTAATGCGTGCGTACCAACTTTTTCGTTAATGATCCGCTGCCCTCTTACATTACCTGAAAGTTATATAAACTTATATACAATCTAGTATTGTATAACGTAAACAATTATGGTGGTCGTGAGATGTAGAACTTTATACCATCTCTCATTGTCGTTGTTTGACAATGTTCTGTTTGGGTTTCATGGGCATTCTCACGTTCAGGCGGTCCAATTATTTTTGCACGTTTCCCACGTCTATCTGCCCGAATTGCTGCACCACTCTTACGCTTGCTTGCTGCAATTTATCAAACATGGTATGGACATAATAAGAATGGTTGTTGGTAACAGAAATTTAAATCTTTTAAACTTTCAACGCTCGTGTATATTAAGATAGGATACGGATAATTGAAAGGTAATATACCGTCTTGTGCCACCACATTCGAATCACGATTCAGTCGAGGTACATCATCAACAAAATCATCGTTGTCCGAGTGACCAGTCATGTTTGCACATTTTCCATGTTTCTCAGGCTGTTTCGGTGCATCGGTTTTCTGTTTGGTGGCTGCAACTAAAAGAACACAAAGTGAACCGACTGGAATAATTATAAACATAATATATCAAAGTATATAATAAACATATGTGTACCTCCTTGGGCATGGTCGGCATCTTGTGGTACAGTTTCTTGTTGAGATAAATTTAAACTCGCACGACGACGCGTAACTGCGATGATTGAAAATTGTTACGAACACCACAAAAAGTAACTATGCCATTCATGGACCATACTACAACAATATACCTATCGAAGCTGATGGAGGTCCAATCGATCCACCTTCGACGACAGAATGTGCACCTATATCATCATATAAACGTAAGGCACGTATAGATAACACATAAAAACTATCACAGCCTTCTTAGAAAATTAACATATTGACCTTTATCGCCCGATTTTCCAAATGTCGGGTCATTTAAATTGTTGTTAATGTCTGCACAACACACGTGATAATCCCACAGTTAAGGGGCTGCAACTACCAACTTGCAGTATGCACAGTGTCATTATAATATACTGATGGAATCAAATGGTTTATTGAGCATTCATCCAAAAGGCAAGAAAAGAAAAAAAATAAAAAAAAAAACTCATACACCAAAGGCATATCAGAATAGAATCCAAAGCATTCCTTCATAAAAACCAGATGAGGGAAATGAACTAACAGAAGAAGTAATACCTATTATCTTTGTATCATTTCATACTGATATTTTGATAAACCATTGCAAGTTCGCCCCAAATGATACTTTCTCAACTCATGCAATCAATAACTACTCCAGAAGATAATACTTATAGCCAAAGACTGAAAGTTACAAAATGTAACAGCTAAACTGCTTAAGTGCATATATTCAACCAAATCACTTTAAATTATCATAACACGAGGGATAATTATATGAAGTTATTATATTTAAAATTAAGAACAGAGCACCAGCAAGCAGAAGAAACCAAAATTCAACAATGTGAAATTTAGGCTTTGACAAATTTAGTGTGTTCATTTGTTGACAACAACCAACAATGTGAAACTATTAGAAACTAAACATAAATAATTAATTATACATAATTCGTCAAAAGAAGTCGCTAAAATTCAACAGACAAAACTCAAATCTAAACAATATATAAAAATTGAAAAATAATGCTCAATATAACCTGTCATCCTCGAACGCGAGATCTCGTGTTCTTCAAGCTCGAACACTTATAGCAGGACCTTAGAATATATTGAACAAAACACAAAAAAAAAAAAAAAAAAAAAAAAAAAAAAAAAAAAAAAATCGCTGTTAACACGATGATAATAAAACGTCTCAGACAAGCTAGATCTAGAAATATCTCACCTGAACTTTGACCGATGATGAGATTCGGAGAGAAAACCAGCTAAAAATCCTCACATTAATGGCGAAACCGACGCCATTGTCACACATATTTCCATTGTCTGAAGGGATATCTGAAGAGTAAATGTGCTACTAATTTAATTTTGCAATTAATGTGTTAAAGTCTCGAGAACAAGGGTTTACCCCCTTTGTTATGTAAAATGACTGAGGTGCCCTCTGTTACACATAAATCACCATGTAATTTGGGTTTTATTACGATTATGCCACCGCGCCTAAGCTGGTTTAAGTGCGCGATATTTTTAATCTCAGCCATTGTTTGGATAGATCCAATGGTTCATATTAATTATTATTTCTCACCCAAACCCTTATTCTCATATGATCCCTTACCTAGGGTCACGATCCGGTGAGAATGACCCTTAATGCGAGAAATAGGAATAAATTTGGTACACTAGATTAATGAAATCAGACGGACATAAAATATCCGCTGGGATTCAGTTACCCCATCAATTGGAGGGTAATAACGTAATTACCGCAATTTAATGTCTCATTGAAGACCTACATACTGAACCACAACTTTTTTTCAAGGGAAAGAGAAAGAAGGATGTAAGTTACAAGAAGTTTGTGGAGATGCTAGATGCCGATATCAATGGAATTTGTGTCTACAACCGGAAGAAAGTTTCAATGGTATCCAAATTTATTGCATTTTCAGTTCTTGATCATGACGTGCAACATTACATTATAGTTTTTTTTTTCTTTGTTTGAAGTATAGTACGTGTTCCCTATACACTCTGGTGGCTTTAGTGGGTTGATTTGTATTTTGCCGGACACCTGGAAGATACATATCGTAGATAGTGCTTGCATCTGTAAAGACGCCTCCATTAAGAAATCCATCACGTCGCATGCTAGGATTTTGGTAACAACTATCTCCACTTGTAGAAAGTTAACTTATTTCTTTATCACGTGATGCAAGTGTTTTGTATTTGTTCTTTCTATTTTTTTATTCATATATATATATATATATATATATATATATATTATTGCTTTTTTTCGTTTTTTTGTTGTTTTCATTTTGTTTTACATGTTAGCGCGTATATTTGTTGCAGCAACAATCACTTGCGAAGTACATGGCACAGATGAGTATGTCGAAATCATCAAAGTCGGTCGCGCTCTCAATTCCGAACTTCATTGATTTGCCGTGGACTGAAGGTGTCGATGACGTAGATGCCGGCGTCCTAACAATGCGTCACATGGAGACATTCAAAGGACGTGATACAGAAGGCTGGAACCCGGATGTGAAGAAGACCGACAAGAGGCAGATCGACCTCACGAGGAAGCGTTACTGCTACGTCATTGCGTTTGCTCCATACAACAAGGTGAAAGACGCTAACCTCGTTGAATCAAAGAGGTCTCCAAGGAAGAAAGTCGGTATTGTGTGATGTGTCACATGGGTCGTTTGTTGTTTGGACCCGTTAGACGTACTGTTGCCATGTTTTGGTTTATTACATATGCGTGTAGGACCTAATGTTTGGTACGCCCGTCGCTAGATGCTTATTTCTAGCACTATGGTTTTGGATGACTATTCTAGTAGTTTGTTATGATTTGTTTTTGTCGTTTTTGGTATGTTAATGCGACAGTATATATTGTTTCTTTTGTTTTATGGTGGCTGAACGATGCGATACAGTTATAAAATACTATGTAGAACAGGTTTCCGATTCAAGGTTTGTGGATTATCGGACATAGCTATTGACTTTATTTTGTGGAGTGGGTCGATAAAGTGCGACATTACAGTCTGTAAAGTGCAACGACATATTGTATATTGTGCAATGTGATTGTATATAAAGTGCATTAGCGTGGCATATACAGGAGAAATGCTTAAGTGCGACATTACAGTATGTAAAGTGCAACGGCGTGTTCTATGTCGTGCAATGCGATTATATATAAAGTGCAGTAATGTAGTATATACATAAGAAATGCTTGCATTGCCAGACGTTTGGTTGTTGCGATGTCGATTTGTTGCAATCTTAAATACGTATGTGTATTAGGCCGTTACAGCGAATTATTTTGTAATTGTGTAAATACACGAGTTCATACACTATACTCTTCTTTAAGATTCATATGGTATCAACAATTGAAAAAAGTGCAACGCGATGTCCATGGAAGTGCAACGCATAATCCAAAAAAGTGTGATGTGCACATTGTGTTCGCAGTCAATGTGCGCACCCAAAATACCACATAAATATCCCACTGGCACACATATTAATTATCAGCCAATACCACTGAAAAAAAAAAAAAAAAAAAAAAATATATATACATGTTAATATTCATACATCACATCTAATACGCATTACACTATTGTACGAATACACACACATTGTTAATAAATACATGCGAATATTGAGAAACAATATAGGATGTTGACATATGTATAGAGATGCACGTTGTAGAGAAATATATATGCATAATATATATGTTAGAGTATCAGACAGCTATTTGTGCATTTACCTCGACGGCATTTGATGTGTACGCATGCTGCTTCTTGGGACACGTACGTGCATTGTGGCCTGCTATTTCACCACACGACTTGCATGTCCTTCGTCTCTTTTGCGACCCTTCAATTGCCTTTTCCTTCACACTTTTCAGTCTCTTCCCACTGCCTTTGTTCTTGGATTGTGACGGAGGGTGAATGTTCACCTCTTGAGGAGCAGCCATGCCAACAAACGATTCAAATTGGTGTTCTTTACCAATGGTCGTTGTGTCCCCTGATTGCAAACAACATACACGATTTTTTATAAAGTGCAACAACGTGTTTTATATTGTGCAATGTGTCGATATGTAAAGTTCAATAATATAGTGTATACATTGTACATACTTAGGAACACTTTACCAGTTATTGTCGCATCCCTTGTTTGAGAAGACATGAGCTTAGACTTGTATGCTTCGACGATTTTGGAAAATTCGATAAGGCGATCGACACAAGGCTCAGCTAATCCAATGCATATATGTATATCTGACCACAATTTGTTCAACAAGTGTTTTGTATCATCGGCCCGAGCACATTGTGCAGCAACATTGCCAAGAACATGAAACATGGGATTACTAGTCGCCTGCTTCGTCCATCTCGATATGATATGTGCCGACGGAATTAGATTGAAGTTAAGGTCTTTGAGCACAAAAAACACGTGTCTACACAACCACCCGTACAACTCGAAGTGCTTGCACGAGCATGCAGACGTAGTCAGGACGACATCATGAATAATAGTGAAGGTCTTACCATTTGGGTCTTTGAGTTTGAATTCCATAATTCCTTCACTTTCGGAGACGCTCGTTACACGACAATTGAAACATGCTGCACATATCTCACCTTGTACACGGTAGAATGAGAATGTTGTGTAAACAGACCTCGCGTGCCTCTCAATCAGCAAAGGTGTCTTTAAGTCAGCTATTTGCGACTCACTGTCGTTTTGTAGTTTGATTGACACATTTCGTTGCGCGTCCATCGCACTGTCGAAGTTTAGTAAGAACTCGACTAAGCTGGAATGGCTACTCGTGAAATGACCGAACCAATTGTTCTCGCTCTCGGACCTGAACGTTGTCCTCATCAAACCACTCATTTTGACATTTTAAAAAATGCTGGAATCAAAAGTTCCCTTTTTGCAAATAGATCAGTGAACCAATTGTGTGTTTCCAACATATAATCTCTCATTATTGCCGCCCATTTAGCTTCAAATTCATTAGGCTCTATAGTTCGATCCCACACAATTTCATTAAGCCTTCGTTTGAATTCTACATCGTTATTTAAAGAAGGACCAACCTTGTCGCATAATTTTGTCATTATATGCCACATGCAAAATCGGTGTTTGCAAGTTTCGAATACCTTAGGAAATGCAATGCCGATGGACGGGTCTTGGTCTGTGACAATGTACTCGGGCTCGTGGATCATGGCATCTTTGAAATTCTTCAATACCCAAACATAAGAGTCGACGTCCTCTCTCGATATCAAGGCAGCTGCAAATGTCACACACTTGCCGTGGTTATCTATACTGGTAAAAGGTGCGAATACCATGTTGTACCTACACGTTGATCAAGTTGATTTAGTATACGAGTGATAATTTATATTGTGCAACCAAAGAATGTATAAACTATGCAATTATTGTTGACATTTGCAAATATTATCGACCTGACAACATATGTTGGAAAATATACGTGAAATTTGTGCTAACCTGTTGGTGCGGTTCGTCGCATCAAACGATACAACATCACCAAACGCACCGTAGTTCCTCCTCGAAATCGGATCAGCCCAAAAAAGCTGTTTCAAACAGTCGTTTTCATCAAGCTCGTATTGGAAGTAGAAGGCTGAGCTTGCTTCCCGACGCTTATAGAATATCTCGATAATCAACTATGCATCAGCTCCTAAGATGTACGCAAGGAGTTCCCGCTTAAAGTTCTTGAAATCCACGCTGGTGGCTCCAATGTTCGAGTACCCTCCAACCATCTCTTTGTACAATCGGTACGACTTGACCGGCCCTATATTGGCCTTTATGCAATTCATTACGAACGACCGATGTCCTGCATTCATCGACCTACTGATCTTCATTTGTGACTTGCAAGCATCAGATATCATTGAGTGACTATGTTTTTTCTCAAAGATTTTAACCATGTATCCGTTCAATCCATCATATCGCACTCCAATCTTGGCAGTACAACCTACCCGGCTGGACACTCTACGTCTTGTCACGTGTCCTTTAGAATGTGCCGTAGGACTGATGACTGCACGTTGCTTGTAACCCTCTCGTCAGCACACGAGGTATTTCCAAATAACCGTCTTGTCACGTGCTTTCGCCAACGTGCTATGCCTCACGTCAAATCCAACGGTAAGAGCATAAGTCTTGTAGAAGTTCGTCCTTGATACGGTTTAATCGATTCGTCACATTGTGGTATCCAATGTTTTGTTCCACCCGGTGTATTAAAAGTTGTTGTGTAACCGGCGTTTGCATTCCTTAAGTGCCATTGAAAAAAAAACATATCAGTAGTAATGACTAAACCACCGATTGCACCGATGTGAACAGACAGTTGCACGCAATAGAATCGACTGTTGCACTTTATCACAGTATAGATAAAATTGTCCTCAGTACTTGGTTGAGAGTCATTTAATTCCATTGTTTATGCGACCCAACCAATAAAACGTATGAAGTCCCTAAAACCACATGAAGAAACAAAGTATATCAGATCAATTATCAGATCAACTTCCCTAAAATAACATATTTTGACATGTAGATAATTAAACCAACAATTCTCAATTTCGTTCAACAATTGACCAAAATCGAATGTTTAATTCGAAATATACCTGACACCGTCAAGTATGTGAAATGGATGTTCAATCGGAAGTTTCGGGCTCGCGAATCGAGATTGTTATAGAAATCTCATGGAATATTGGAAAACCGAGCTCGACATGGTGAAAAATCGGTCGCGAAATATACACAGTTGCGGGATTGAGAAGATTTAGGTGAGGGTATGAAGGAGCTGGGGGATTTTTAGGGGAGCTTGTGCGGGTATGAAGGAGCTGCGAGATTTGGGGAGTTTATCTCAGTATGTAGGTCTTCAATGAGACATTAAATTGTGGTAATTACGTTATTACCCTCCAATTGATGGGGTAATTGAATCCCAACGGATATTTTATGTCCGTCTGATTTCATTAATCTAGTGTACCAAATTTATTCCTATTTCTCGCATTAAGGGTCATTCTCACCGGAGCGTGACCCTATATATATATATATATATAATATAGTTATCCAACTAGTAAAATAAATTATATTTATAGAACTAGATAGTGAGGATATACATTTATATTAGTATGTATCCCGTGCGATGCACGGAGCAATAATTATAAATTGCATGTATTAAAGTAATGAGGCAATATTGATTAGTATATAAATATTTTTGAATGTAGATGTTATATTTTTATTTTATGATATATAATAATTTAATATATGAGTTTTATGTTTATTCCACTCGTTATAAAATAGTTCTCATTTTAGAGTTCTTGTTTATAATAAAGGATACTGAAAATTTAACATATTCAAATATTATCAATAAATAATAGGACATTATATTTCTCTCTGTGTCTTCCTTTACTCATACCTTACTACAATATATTATTTTGATTTCTAAATAAGTTACGCTAAAATTGAAAAATTGTGGCAATATTATAATCAATATTTAATTGAAAAAATTGTAATATATATTATTTTATAATTAAAAAACATTAACTTTTATTTAAGTCAATATTATTTTTTTTCTTATAATTTATAACAATTTATATTATAAATTTTTTTAATTCTCTTTCTAATCTATTAATTTATATGAAAACTAGTTCGGTGTAGTTATTGATAATATCTAAGTTATTTTTGAACTTCTTGAATAGTTGATTTTTTATATATGACTTGTTACCAATTGAATAGAGAATTCATTGAATAGAAAATTGGAGGGATTTGTTGTTAATGTTGAGATACCAATTCTATTGTTATATTGTGGTAGTACTGATACCTTGCAATATTCTCACGCATATTTCAGTTTAACTCAATTTTAACCCAACTCCACTATACTCGATATTATAAAGAAATAAATTAAATAATATCAACCAATCATTCTTACACATCATATTAATTTTAATTTACTATTCATCCACTCACATAATTTTAACTAACTATCACTTCACAACCACTCTCTTCTACTTTTACATCAAATTAATTTTAATTATTTTATTTAAAATATTATTTTAATATAAAATCAAAATTTCACTAATAACTAATAATACTACTTTTTTCAAAATTAACTTTAGTTAACAAAAAAAAACTCATTTTAATAACTAATAATACTACTTTTTTCAAAATTAACGTTAGTTAACAAAAAAAAACTCATTTTGAGCGAATATATTTGTATACAAACACGCCCAAAGATTGTTTGGTATCAAAAATAAATAGTTAAATTACTTTTGATATTGTAGAAAATTACTTTTACAATTTTTAAAAACTAAATCAGCTGAGTTACTGATAAATCAAAGGATTTAAACTAATCATCTTGATTAATTAATTTTTGAATATACGACAAAAAATTTTTGGTATATGGTTTATTACCAAATTAATAAGAAATCACCATGATTTGTTATTAATGTTGATAAATAAAAAATACTTTGGTTATGGTTGGTTATCAATGAATAATATATTACCGTGATTTGTTATTAATGTTGATAAATAAGATTTTATTGTAACCTTGTGAGAAGTATCATAATAAAACTTCCATAATGATTTCTAATTTTTATACCATATTTGTAATTTTCTCGTTCATATTCAAATAATATTTTTTTAAAACAAACCTATTTCATAGATTTTTTTTTTTTTATGATATGTTGTATGGTTGGTCACCAAAAAAATAAAAAAATTTCAGTGTTCGAATTTTTATTGTGATAATTATCATCAAAATAATTTCAAAAGTGGTACCACTTTATTTATATAAAAATTCGTGCTATTAATCGAATTGCACGATTTACAGCAAGTAGGTATAGTTTCATTTTATTTTTATTTTATAAACATTAAATTATATATTTTCTCTAATAATAAGTCAACATATTTAATTATAAAATCAAGCATACTATTTTAGATTATTCTATCAACCTCTCTCAATATATATAGATATAGATTTTTTAATTAAAAAAAAACAACAACTTGTGGCATACCGTTATTATTATTATTTTATTTGTTTATTATTATTTTGAAAGATCGTCTTAAAATTCTTATATATAATTACTTGCGAACCAATTCGTAAATATAATTTGTTATTTCCACACTTTTGTGTATGGAAATATTTGGACATAAATAATTCATATATGCAAACTGTAAAGGACATTTTATCCACAATTTAAATATTAATATCCGAAAGTTGCAACTAAACAATTACTAATATAAAATAAACACAAAAAAGTATCAATTCTGGTGGAACAGTATATGTTTACAATATATCAGGCAGGGGCCAATTCAGTCTTTTGGTGGGGTCAGTTTCACTCTTCGAAGTTCGAAGGAGCAATACATTGTGCACCAAAGTCATGCATTTGTCCGTATATAATCTAGTCAAATTCTGATACATATTAGTTGATTAATAGTTATGCAATGTGTATATATACCTTATATCACTACAAAAAAATTATTATATTCTAATAAAAATTCCTATGATAATTTATTCTAATAGAAAATCCAACGGATATTTCAATGGATAGCTTCCGTTGAAATGATTCCAACGGAAATTTCAACGAAAATATTCCGTTGGAATGTGTTTATTATTAGAATTTTAGATGGAATTTGATGATTCCAGCGACTATATTTCCAATGGCTTTTTGCCATAGGAAGTTCCGTTGGAATATGCAATTTCCGTTGGAATTTTTTTTTCACCCCCGTTGGAAAATCTACCGTTGGAATCGTCAAAATTCAACGGAGATTCCAATGGAAAATTCATTCCAACGGAATATTTTTGTTGAAATTTCAGTTAGAATCCATTGAAAAATTCCAACGGAAATAATATCATTGAAAAATATCCATTGGAATTGCCGTTGAAATTGTATTTGAATATATTTACGTTGGAATTTCATCATTTTCTTGTAGTGTATTTAATGAACACTAGTAAAATAAAACAATCGTGTATTGCACTGGGTGCTAAATAAAAAATTTAGATCTATGCTTTTCAAAAGGAAGAAAGAGATATTTTTATTTAAAAAATTATAATATTATTTATTTAAAATGACACTCGTCACTCGTGTAAATTATCCCTTATATTATAATAATTTTTTATAATTCATATTATGCAACGAGTTTGATATACATATTTATTAATCGATAAGTAGTTTATTATTTTTCAATTAACATTCATGGTAATTTAAATTTATTATAAGGGAAAATTTAATTATTTATTTATATATGCATTATGTATATTAGATTAAAGATCGTCAAGAGATGATTAATTTGATATATCATAAATGAAAACCAGATAATAAATATAATAATTATTAATTATTAAAATGTATTTAAAATTTAACCTGGTCGAGCCTTTTATGATTTTAAAAATTATAATAGATATGAATAAACATTAGAAATCAATACATAGGATCGCGAAACACCAGAAATCAACAAATAGGATTATTAAAGAAATCGACACATAGAATTTTTATACAAAAAAATCGACAACGACGATTAAGAATCACCATAAACGACACATATAGGATTATGAAACACCAGAAGTTGACATATAGGTTCGTGACATGATAACACTGGTTTTTGCTTAGCTTTAGATGCGATAGAATTATATGAACTCAGTTAATAATGACATAACAGTTGGTGATTGTTTTAAATATGTATCTTGCTTGCCAGTCATTAAATATCAAATGTTCGACGGGTATAGTAATCTTTTAATTACTGTTTTCGCCAAATTATCGAACTATACTAATTTTATATCCGAAAATAACGGGCAAGATGCCCACTAAATGTTGAATAATACCATATTATTTATATTTTTATCAAATTTATTACATAATTTGGATTCCGTAATATGTTTGTATTCTCATATGATTTAATTTTTTTAAAAAAATAATCAATGTCTATTAAAATCGATAAAATAGTTGAATACACAGGTTGAATCGATTGAAGTGCATACAAGGGGCTTGTTTGGTACGCATGTGGTGCGTAGATCGGTACAATTTTTAAAAACACTGGAGCACATATTATATTAAATTATTTGACTGAATATAAATGCAAAGATATAAACAAACATTGCAACATTAATTTGATTCTCTCACTATTAATTTTTTTATTTAGGTATTGTAAGGTGGTCATCGAAATTAGAGAATTAACCTAGATAATTAGCGAATCGAAGCCCATCGCGTGCGGGGAGCACGTGATTGAGATAGGATAAAATCATTAAATTAACCACAACTTGGAATCTAATCACAAGATATTCGATCTATCAATTTCATAATCAATGTCATAGTAAATCAAACGGCATCGACTATACCAAAACAAGGAGTAATATATATGTCACATCCTCTTAAGCTTTAGATCTAACACAAACCTTAACCCAATTCCATTTCAATCAAACCAAAATCCTAAAAGAAAGAA